TTTTTTTTTTTTTTTAAACTCTGGAGAGCACTCAGGGAAAGAGAGCAGAAGCGACAAATAATTTGGAAAAGATGATCAAAGAGAGCTGGAAATGTTTAGTCTAGAGAAAAGGAGAACGAACAGAGACATAGTTTTCCAAACTGTCATAAACACAATAAGAACAATTATTTTTCAGCAAAGCATAAGGAATTAAGAAAAGTGAATAGGAGCAGAAACAAGAGATTCAACTTAAATATAATTTTTCTTCTTTAAAAAATGGAATGTTTGGGAACTCAGGAATTTTACAATCTAGAGGTCAATCTAGATGTAACAATATCCATCATGAAGAGTGGCGAGTTAACGCCATCCATGTAACAGAGTCAGGAATATTTCTGTTGATAATTAAAGTAATAACAATGCTTACTTCTGACAGGAAGCTAACATTCACTGCTCATTGATCGAATGTTTATTCAGGCCACTACTCTGTGGTGCCAACATAAGAGCCTTCATTAGAATGCTTTGTTTTGGATCCTGTTTTTCAATGAGCACTACATTTTATGTTACTAGGTCTTGTGAATCAGACCTGTTTTTATTTTTCCTCCATTTATCAAAGCATTCACCGTGGCACACACAGCAGGCCCCATATGTGAGCACCATTCTGAGTGCTTCACACAGAAGACTTCATTTATTCTTCACAACACCCATACAAAGCTTGTGCTAGTCAATCTCTATTTTTGCAAGTGACGAAACTGACCGGAAAGAAGTGCTTAAGTATTTTTCCCATGTCGTATTTTGACAAGTGATTAAAATAACTTCAGTTTGAACCTGTGTCCTCTGAGAACCCAACACCAAGATGGGGTTAATGTACTTGAGATTTATGGGGAGCAACTCCTACTCAGGCTATAAGAGGGCAGAAACGAGAGGGATGGACAGAGAAATGTGTCAGACTGAGGTGCAGGTGGGAGGTCTGTGATGGAAGGGATGGAAGGAAGAACTTGAGCAGAAAAGCCTCAGTTTTCTGTGCAGAGCACATCCTGGCCAGGTGGACACACAGGGAGGCCGATACATGGAAGATATTTGCGCTAGGCATAAATGGTCTAGTTTGGTACCACTATGGTAGGCAGCAATTGCCTGAGTGCAGGCCTGTGTGGCCTGCCATGAATACTGTGGGGGGGTCAAAAGCAGCACTCTCAGGAGGCCCTTTTGATGGGGGATCCTAGCACAACAACACAGAACCCAAGCTATATGGCACCCAAGCTACACTCTTCATCGTTCTGTTTTACTTCTCCCCTGGGCTTCATATTTTAAGGGTGTGGATGAAAGATACAGCTCCATCATAATGAGAGGTCTTGGGATTCTTCACTACAAAGCGCTGGCAGGCTCCCTTCACATGGATTACAGTATAGCTGGGTCAGGCAAAGCAATGACTCCAGTAGTAAAGAGTCATCTTCCAATCCAAACATACTTACAAGTGTTGCTTTGGGACATTTCCATCGCATAAACTGTCACAGAATTTTTCAGCCAATATTTAAATATTTACTCAACACTTACTAAATACAAGGCACTGTCTTAAATGCAATGCAAAACACTAAGACCTAAAAACCTTAACCCTTCCATGCAGTTTGCCTAGTAGAGAAGTTGTCACGGACTTAAATAACTACAGACATAGGGATATGAGAAAAAAATGGTCCCATGCAACACAAGCTATGGTGCCATGTAAGATTAGGGAAAAGAAGGGAAAGACTGGGGAAACTTGCACAAAGGGAAAATGCGATGCACATAGGATGGCTGGAGGAACTGCATATTTATTGCCGTGAGACGAAAGAAAAATATAAGCTTGTCAGAGAAGCAGGAAAGCAAACTTTAAATGACAATATCATGATTCTCTTAAAGCAGAAGTTTCTCAAACTCCAAAGCCCTAAAGGTGCTAGAGAAATATTCATGTTTTATTAAAAGAATAGAATTACGTTCTATTTCTATTCATTTTCCAGAGCTTTTATGACAACGTATATGGATGAGGTGGTTTAAAAGAGAGAAACTTCTCACAATGCTGGAAGCCAGAAGTCCACGATCACAGTATTGCAAAGCTGTTCTCCCTTCCTCAATCCTACAGGGACGCTTCCTTTACTCTTCTAGCTTCTGGT